CATCGAAATGGTGACCTGAAATCCAAAAGGGAGAGGTCATTTAAGGAGATCATGACATTTTGAAAGAAACCCTTTTCCAAGAATTGCACTTACTTATCTGTTAATTTTATATGGAAAAATTATGGATATGCTATTTAGAATGAGCTCCTTTGGTCTAAAGGGTAGAACACACTGCATTCTTTTTTCTTTTTGTACTCTATTTTTAAAATCTTGTTTTCCTACATATTTCCCTTCTGCTCTTGTGATTCACTTCTCCTAGCTACTTTTTGACCTACTGTGAACAATTTTAAAGCACCTTTAACCAATAGTTTTACCTAATTTAATGAGACTATATCAAAGAAGACATTGGAGTGTTTTAAATTTTTATATTGTAAGCAATTTAATATTTATATGCTGTTTACTAGAGGCATCTAAAGTAATTACAGTGACTGATGTTTATGACGCATCAGAAATGTGACAGATCAAGTCCATAAGTTTTAAATGCTTTGATAAGTTTTCTTTGTTGTGCCCGAAACAGTCATATTCTACACACTATAATTTACTTCTTTGGGTAATTGGAAACAACTTCTCTGAAATTCTAGTCTTTTCAAGATTTATGGGATTGGTTTGAACAGGCGCTACATAGAGTTCCCAGAATTTTATGATCTGCCAGCTGGATTATGTTTTTTAAAGTGGTAGTGGTGGTGGTGATGGTAGTGGTTGTGGTGGTACTTTAAATTACAATGGACTTCCAGTGTCATCTTCTTGAAATTTTTTTAAATACTCCCTGAAAATTAGTGGGTGCAAACAACCCTAGTCCTAGCCTCTGAAAAATAAATCCACTAACAAGCAACAAAAAGGCAAACTAAGCTTTGTCTGAAATATTAAGATTAATATTCGGATAGTAAAAGCCCAATGTGAGACATTCATGGCCCAGAAATCTAGAAATTGTTTGATGATTTTTTTAAAATTTGGCCAGTTTAAAACTGGCCAAAGTTACAAACATTATTTCTCCAATGTTTAATTGGCAAAAGTAATCAGCTAAAGATGGCATAGATAATTAACACCTCAGTTCTCCAAAAGTCATATCGTTATTTGCCTTAATAATGTGGAATTCAACTGATGATCTAAAAATGAGCAAGAAGGCTGCTGAAGATACTAAACTAGAGGTCACAAAGTTTAAGCACTAAAAGTCTTAGATTTTTGTTTTTAGGAGAATCCCTTAGGCCTTCATTCAAAGGTTATTTACTACAAATATTAACTTTACCTTCAACTGGAAGTTTCAGAACAGGTACCGATGGAAAGTGTATTGACTCTCCTGCTATTTATCACACATGACACCTGAGCTCTGGTCTCTGTGCCTTTGTGATGTCCATCTTCCATGCCTGGAAAGCATCTCTGTCTCTTAGAATCCCTTGTTTCTTTCAAACCCCTGTTCAATCAACGGCCTCTACATGAAGCCTTTCGTGATCCCTCCCAGCTCCTAGGGCCTCCTTGTAATTTACCATGTGTGTTCATCTTATATTTTATTTTTTTAATAGAAATTTCTCTTTTTTGTTTTTAAATTTTTTTATTTTAGACTTAAATACTAAAACTTATTATATATAATAAGAATAATAAGAAAAAGAAACATGAACTTAAATATTAAAACAAATACAAAATAAGAAAAGAAAAAAAGCTTTGCCATGTGCATAGCAGAACATAAGAGAGGATTCAAAACATACAACAATAAATTTCCATTCCATTTGAAATTTCCATTTTAAGAAAGCCTATATAATAAATACTTTGCATTGTGCTAAGAGCTGTTCATCTTTTCTTTACTTCCTTACAAGTTTTTTGTTCTCTGCTGTGTACTTTCACCTTATGTTTTATATCTTCTTTTTATGTACATGTTTTCTTCTCATAGAATGTAAGCTTTTTGAGGGCAGGAACTGTTTCATACATATATATATATATATATATATATATATATATATATATATATATATATATATATATATACACATATATATATATACACATATATATACACATATATATATATGTATATATATATGTATATATTTATATATATTTTAATCTCAATATATCCCCAGCATCTAGCACAGTGCTGAGCACATAGTAAGGATTTTAACAAGTTCTTGTTGAATTAAGCTGAAAGGAGTTCATCAAGTATGGCCAAGCATAGACTGAAAACGTGGGTATATAACTTTCTAACACATACATAGCAGATTAGAAGAGGATGAGAGATTTTTAGTGAAGAGTATAAGGAAGCAGTAAGATCTGAATCCTGGCAGGCTGGTAGGGAGGGTAGACAGAGAAACTATAAAAAGCAGACATGAGCACTCAAAAAAATAGAAGCAGTAGTAGAGTGGCAAATAGGCATTTGAAGGGACTTGTGAAAAATCTAAGGAAAAGAAGGAATTCAGCTGTTATCTGTCTTGAAAGAGTCTCATCCTGGTTCCCATAAAAATTAGATTGAAATAATCTTCCTCTAAATGAAACCAAGTGTAAAATATGCATCGTGTCCAAATGTGTTCCATTTTGGCCTGCTGTATACTCTTTTTGTTGGTAGTGGTTTTTTACTGGAACTATGATTTTATTTAGTACAGGAAGTTCCCAGTGAGGAAACTCCCTTCACCATTGCCAATTGACACTTGCTTCAAAATTTATAGTCTTGGAGTTGTTTGGGGCACAGAAAGGATAACTGCCTTACTCAGAGTCATGCCACACACTGTTATTCCCTGAACTCCTGACCGGTAGTTGCCTCAATCATCCACTACTTCTATACTTGGCTCCAGACGCCGTTTTCTTGCCCCACCCCCCACTCCACTCCCTATGCTTTCTTCTTCAGGAACTGCGATCAACTCAACTCTGCCATTGTCGACAAGTATTTACCAAACAGTTACTATGTGCCAAGTATTCTGCTAAGCAATTAAGATACAAAGAAAGACATAGACAGTCCCTGCCCCTCAATGAGCTCATATTCTGATAGGGAGACAAATATGGAGATAACTAAGGAGGTAAAAGACATAGAGAGAGTAATTGGAAAACCATCTCAGAGAGGAAGGCATGGAAGCCAGTGGACTAGGACAAGCTTCCCATAGAAGGTAGAATTTGAGCTGAGTGTTGAAAAAACTACTTTTGTAGCTGAGTGGAAGATGGATTGGAGTAGGGAAAAATCCGTATCAGTCACTTTGGAGAGGTCAATTTTAATTGAATGATGAGATCTGAAGTCAGATTGCAGAGGAGTAAGAAGAAAATGAGAGAAGTGAAGGTGCTCCATCTAGATGGCTTTCTAGATGATTATTAAGGGGGTGTTAGTCTATTCTTCTGTGACTCTGTTTACCCTCTCTATAATTCAATAGTTCTCAAATTATTGACCCAGGGAGCCCCCAAGACCCTTTCAAGGGGTCTGCAAGGTCAAAACTGTTTTCATACCAATACTAATACATTATTTGCCAATTAAAATTCTCCCTTTCCAACTAAGTATCTGTGTGAAGCTGGGTTTTCTTCATATACTTTAACCAAAACGATATCTTATAACAGATTGAATGCAGAAACAGAAACAAGAATCCAGCTCTCTTACAATAAGCCAGACATTAAAGATGGCAAAAATAAGTTTTTAAAAATGCCACTCTTCTCAGTTTCTTGTTTTTGAAAATGGTTATTTTTTTTTCATAAAAATCTATTATTTATGTTCCATGTAATGGGCTTATCACTGTTGTTTTAAATGAAATTAAATATTTTAAAATGTCAGTTTTAATTTCTAATATGGTTAATATCGCTAGATGTAACTCACATAAGCAAAAGTTCTTTGGGGTCCTTAGTATAAAGGAATCCTGAAATGAAAAAACTTGAGAACCACTGCTATGACTTTCCAAATGGGGTTATCCTTTCCTCGCTCCTAGTCCTAGCTATGTGTTGTTTCCCCCATAAGAATGTCAGTTCCTTGAGAACAGGGGCCCTCTTTGCCTTTGTATTGGTATTTCCATGCTTTAGCACACTGCTTGGCATGTAGTAAGCACTTAATGGATACTTTAAAATTCATTCATTTTAGATAACTTGATTTAGAAGATGTAAGAAAATATCAAATTGTATGCAATTAGTGAACAGGTAAATATGTGACATAGAATCATAGAATTTTCAAACTCCAAGGGACTGTAGACATCTGCCCCACCTCCTTTATTTTGCAGATAAAGGATCTAAGGCCTTGAGAGTTTAAATGAAAGCCCAACCCCACCCCCCCTTTAGATTGGCCACATATCTATGGCCACATTCTCAGCATAGTCCAGCTTGCAGCCCTTGGACCTCTTAAGATTATAATATGTAGCACAAATAAAACGCTTTTCTTCGCGTGCAACTCAGTTTTAAGAAGCTAGTTATAATACATTTTCATCATGAATTGCATAGTTTGGGTGATTTTAAGAAGTATATGAATACCTTATTAAATAAAATTTGAACTTATTAAGTAGCCAAATGTAATTAGGTAATAAAAACTTAAGTAACATTTTTTCAGTCATTAATTAACTTTACATTTGGTTATTTTCATAACCATGCAAATTTCGTGTGAAATTTTACATGGCATTATCTTCCTTCACTCAAGATATGAGTCCTAATATCAAAGTACTTGTTTTTATGCCTTTACCAGTGAATTACTGAATAGTCCATTCACTTTAGAATCTGAACATTCACATGACTGGTTTAATTAGAAAACAAGAAAGCTCAATAATTCTACCATAAGCTAGTAATAATGTACCAGTGGGAGTCCTTGCGGCTCTTTATTATTCAAATACTCAGTGGTTTCTTGAATAAAGTGGATGACTAAGTATACTTATAGAAGTAAGAGAGATTATTAGCAGTGGAAGACACATTTGAACTTGCTGAAAGAACTGCTTTTGTATCTAGGAAGGCCTACTCTCAGTAATTATAATACTAGGTCTTCATTTTATCCCAGCAGTCCCTCCTTATTCACGCTTGCAATGTCTGAATAGCTTTCTATTGCTTGTTAATCCCCACAGGAATGTGGCTTTGGTTATGGGGAGGATGCACAGTGCATGACATGCAGGCCGCACAGATTCAAGGAGGACTGGGGCTTTCAGAAATGCAAACCCTGTCTGGATTGTGCATTAGTGAACCGATTTCAGAAGGCCAACTGTTCTGTCATCAATGATGCTGTTTGTGGGGATTGCTTACCAGGGTAAGTTAAATTTTTCTCTTTTTTCATTGTTCTAAAAAACCTATTTCTCCCTTTTAAAAAAAACCCCAATTTTATATTTACCAATATTAAGTCTTAAATTATTTAAGATTATATTAACCATTAAATTAATATGCTAATATTAACTCAAATTATGTATTATGTAAATTATTAAATTAATATATTATTATAAATCTTGTTATTTGTTATATTAACTATTAAGTTAATACACTGATATTAACTCTTAGATTATTTAACATGTTAATTATTAAATTAACATGCTAATAGTAACTCTTAAATTATTTGTCCTGTTTTTGTGTCATTACAATATTGTGTAAACAGTACTAGATTGGGAATAGGAGGATCTATGGCCTTAGGCAAGTTACTTTACCTCTCTGGGTCTCATATAAAATGAGGGCATTGGACTAGGTAGCTAAGTTCCTCTCCAGCTCTAAATATGGCCCTGTGAATTAGATTATAGATTCCTTGAGTGTAGGGCCAATGGCTTGTACTTCTTCGAGTCCCCAACAGTGCCTTGCACATATGAGGTACTCAATCAGTATTTGGGGGTGGGGGGGCTAGGCAATGGGGTTAAGTGACTTGCCCAGGGTCACACAGCTAGTAAGTGGTATGTGTCTGAGGGTGGATTTGAACTCAGGTCCTCCAGAATCTAGGTCTGGTTCTGTATCCACTGCACCACCTAGCTGCCACTCAATCCATATCTGTTGATTTAATTGTCTGGATTTGCCATTCCATTGCTTTGTAATTTAGTCCTTCTGTGCTTTGATAGCTAAATCATTGCACATGGTGCTCTATGTCCAGAATGAACTTGCTCCTCACCTCTACTTCATAGAATCCTTAGCTTCCTCAAAAGCACTGCTCAGGTGCCACCTCCCGGATGAGGCCCTTTCTCATCCTACCAGACCTCATCTTAAACTGACCTTGCATTTCTTGGTGTCCTATAACATCATTCAGTTCCCCTTGCCCACTTGTAGTTTTCAAGGAGTTATTTTCTTCCTTAGGATTTTGTATCTCTTTTTCCCAATTGGTTAACTTTCTTTTGATAATTTTCTTGAATTGCTTTTAACTCAGGTATAGGTTGTATTCTGCCACACACTCCCTTTCCCCACCAATAAGCTCCTTATGAGGACATAATCTATGTCACTTTTGTCTTGGGTCCCCAGCACCTAGAACAGTGCCTTGCTTATAGGAGGCACTTAATCAACTTTTGATTTGAACTGAATTGTGTAGAGTTCAATTTGAAGGCAAGGTCCAAAGCTTTATGACCTGAATTTGTTTGCGTTTATCCTAATGTTTGCATTTTTACTTATATCAAAAGCTCAGAAACTGGAAGTTATGACATGGTGCATATGACTTGTAAATGAATGGATTCAGTCTGACTCGTAGATGTGAATATTAGAACTGGAGTGAATCTAATCTAACCTCTTCATTTTACATATAAGAAACTCGAGCCTAGATGGGGTAAAATGACCAAAACAACAGACAGGGAGAGTATAACAAGACAGGACGAAGGGTTGACATCTCCTAAACTCCCAGCCCCATGTTCTTTCTAATGTACCTGGACAATCATACAGTCACAACATCAACTTTAAACTAATTCTGTGAGTCAGAAGGGATCTCAGAAGTAACATGGTTCATTCTGTACCTGAATAGAAATATGGCTCTACATGTCTCTGAAAAGTGGTCATCTATGGGGGCAGCTAGGTGGCACAGTGGATAGAGCTCCGGCCTTGGTGTCAGGAGGACCTGAGTTCAAAGTGACCTCAGACACTTGATACTTGCTAGCTGTGTGACCTTGGGCAAATCTCTTAACCCCCATTGCCTCATCAATAAATAAATGGATGAATGAATGAATGAATAATTAAACAAATAAATAAATAAGTGAATGAATGAATTAATTAATAGATGAATGAATAAATAGATAGATAAATAGATGAATAAGAAAGTAACTAAATAAATAAATGAATAAGTAAGTAAATAAGGAAAAGTGGTCATCCAGACCTTGCTTGGACCTCTAATGAGGGAGAACTACCACCTCTTGAGGCAATTCATTCCATTTTTGGTGTTCTACACTTGTTATTTTTTTAGCTGTTTGCCTATCTGTACTCTTCTCTCTAGAGATACACAGAACAAGTTTAATACAGATTCTGTGTTATTTCCTTTTGGATACTTGAAAATGACTATCATGGCCCCTCTCTGTTCCACATTTTCTAGATTAAATACCTCTGGTTCTTTCCCTAATTTGAAAATTAAATTTTTTTCAATTAAGCATTTATTTTCTCTTCCTCCCACCTCCCATCCAACTGAAAAAAAGGAAGGGAAAAAAAAACTCCTTGTAACAAATGCATAATCAAGCAAAACAAATTTCCATATTGGCCTTGTCTGAGATTATATGTCTCATTCTATATATTTAATCTATCACCTCTGTCATTAAGTGGGTATCATTCTTCATCCATCAGTCCTCTGGAATCGTGGTTGATCATTGCATTAATCAGAGTTCTTCAGTTTTTCAGTCTTTTGTTTTCACAGTGTTGTGACTATATAAAGTATTCTCATAGTTCTGTTTACTCTGAATCAGTTCATATAAGTCTTCCCAGGTTTCTTCAAAACCTTACCCTTCATCATTTTGCACAGGACTGTAGCATAGTACTGTAGTGTTCCATCACCTTCATATACCCATAATTCCATATACCAGTTATTCTCTAGTTGATAGACACCTTCTTTCTTTCTGGTTCTTGTTCCTCATGCGATATGATTTCTGGATTACTCCCCATTTGGGATCTTTATTCCTCAGTGCAGACTCCTGCCAACTATCTATTCCTTTCTATTATCTACACTGTTATTTAGATACTCATTGAAGGATTATAGAAAAATACAACCTCCTTAAAAAGTGACTGAATTTAAGGATAAGTCCTCAAGTCCATGGCCCTGAGTATCTTTTTTAAAATGTAGATGTAGGTGGGGGCAGCTAGGTGGCGCAGTGTATAGAGCACTGGCCCTGGATTCAGGAGGACCTGAGTTCAAATCTGGTCTCAGACATGTAACACTTACTAGCAAGTCACTTAACCTCCATGGCCCAACCAAAAAAAAAAAGTAGACATAGAGTCTTACTCTTAATCATTTTAAAACTCGAGGTAGAATTTAGTGCAGATATGAAACGCTAGGTAGAGAATATGGTGACTCACACTGAAAGGAAGAGGAAGCTTTTCAGATGAGAGGGGTGAGTTATTGAATAGCTGGGAGGTGTTTTTAAAAAATTATGGAACAGATGTGATAGATAGGCTGAGGAAAAGTAGAGGGGGGAGTGAGCCAAATTGAAAAGCCTGAGAAAAAGAGGGCAATGAAGACACACAAAATTCCCCAGCTCATTCTTCTCCCTGCTTAAACCACAGGTTTTTTGCTTCAGTGAAGTGCTTAGCTGTAGCTTCATGGTTTAATTACATAATTATTTTTTAAAATTATGTCCTTTTCAAACTAGCATTAATGCATTGGGTAGGTCGTACTTACATAGTGGCTTTTATCCAAAGCTTTTTCAAAGTTTCTTACAAAAACATTTTCACTTTACTCCATCTCTGAAGAGGGTAATAGGCCTTAATCCCATTTTTTAGGTGGTAAAATTGAGGCACAGGAAATGACTTTCATGGTACCACCACCACCAGCCCTCCCAAAAAAAACAAACGTAGGAGTAAAACACTGGCCAGATTTTCATAGTGAAAATTGACTGTCAGAGAGAAGTATTTACCCATTTTAGGCCCAGACTTTAACCTTTATTCAAATAGCCATATTTTTGGTACATTGTCCAAATTCATCAGATAGTGCTTCTGACTTCGTTATAATTGATGCTATGGAGAATAACACTTAAATTCTGAATATTACAAAAGTTTCCTTCATAATAGGCTTGATATGAATTACAGTTGAGAGGTATGGAGCCATTAGCTTCTTTATTTTTTTTTCTTTTCTATTTAGGATTGGTTTAGAACGAATGGAGTCTGTATAAGCATTTTCAGCAAGCCTTATTGAAATCCTACAGTGTGGTCAGAACTATGTTTTCTTGATGGTATGATATCTGACATAGAATTGTGTTTTAATGTTTAAGTTACTTTTCATTTGGAATAGTAATAGAGGTAATAGTAATAAAAGCATCCAATATTTTCTAGCAGAAATCTGTTGTTACCTCTATTAGCTTAGGAGAAAGAGACAATAAAAATTAATTCTCCTTCCTTTTCTAGATTTTACAGGAAGACAAAGCTTGTCGGCTTTCAAGACATGGAGTGTGTACCTTGTGGAGATCCACCACCCCCATATGAGCCTCACTGTGAGTGAATTTTGCTTAAAATAGGACTGGAGCTCTCCTTGACCTTCTTACTTGCTTTCGTTAGTTGAGAAATGAAGTAAATTTTTCTCACCTGAAACTGAGTAGGGGCCATGAACTTTTATCAAGTTCCTTGCCAGGATATTAATGCTCATTTGTTAGTGTTTTAGGAAACAAAACCTCGATTCTCAAAGAAAATTATCAATATTTTGCTATTATTACGTACATGCACAAATTAAAAATAAAGGGCACATGAAGAAAGACGCTATCTACATCCAGAGAAAGAAATGATAAATAGAAGTATGTATAGAATACTTTTCCGTATATATACTGTGTCTAATAGTAGCCATCTCTAAGGCAGGGTGGAAGTGGGGAGGGAAGGGAAAAAAAAGAAATTTACATAACTTTTTATTATATATTTAAAAGGAATATCGAGTTGTACATAATAGACTTGCAGTAATGTGCAATTATCTTTTTTACTATATTATGTTATTAAATTAAATTAAATATAAAATTTTTTTAGAAAGAGATATTGTTCTATTACATTTCATTCAAGAGAGGCAGTATGGTATAGTAAGCCGGGAGTTAGAAAGACTTGGGTTCAGATTCTGTCTCTTATACTTTATGTATAATTCTGGATAAGTCACTTTGTGGATTGTGCATTGTATACTCTGTGCATTGCAAACAACATCCTAGAGCTCTGTTAAATTACAGATGGATTATGATCTGTGTTGTTGAAGAGAGATCCTATATTTGGGAAGAGAGCCTTCACACTGAGAGTTCCCCACACTGATACAATCACCACTACTTCTACATATTTGTATTTTGTTCATATTTTATATTTTGTTTTATGCTTACCATCAGTCATCTCTCATTTGGTGAACTAATCACAATTTATAACAGAATAAGGGTTATTTTGATATAACTTCTTAGAAAACTCTCTAGCCTCTAAAGAAGACATGACCAGGAATGAGACAGGGAGAAGGCCACCAAATGGGCTTACCAGTATGCTTGAAGAGCGCATATTGGCTTCTACATGCCTTTGGGTCTTTGGTGTGGGCCCAGAACAAAAAGGAGCAAAAACTGTTCTATTGTTGGCAGCTGGGAAGAAGATCACTAGCAACTGGAAAAGAATTTTAATCATTGGTCCTGATCAAAGGGAAGAATTTGAGAGAATCAAAAGAAAAGGTTTATTCCACTCATGTTTTGCTAATTCACTTCCAGATAGGAATAGGACAATTGGATAATATGTCCATTGATTTTAAAGTTCTGTATTAGTGTACTCTTTTATAATAATTTTTTAAAAACCCTTACATTTATCTAGCCCTTAAAAGACTACCTAACACTTTCTTTTCAATTGCCATATGAGGTGTAGGCAATATGTGTGTCTATGGTATCCATTTTGCAGATGAGGAAACTGAGACTCAAGGTCATAAAACTAAGAATTATCAGAGCTGAGATATGATCCCAGATGTTCTTGATTACCATTACTCTTTTCACTCTGTTATAATGCCTCTTTTATGTCATAGCGCATTGTTCCTGATTTTTATAAAATGAATATTTCATCTAATTAAATTCATTCATTCAATTAAAAAGCAATGTAACATTTAATAGATAAAGCCACATGCCACTTTTCATTTTTTTAGGGGACGTTTTGCAAAATGCAGCCTTTTAAATATTTTTGGTACTATCTTGTACAAAGGAAAATGGCACCTTGTATGCTCATTTATTATGATGAAAAAGCTAACCACAGGAGAACAGTTTCTAGTTTTCATAGTTCTTCATGTTTGCCCTTGTTTTTATAAAATATAGTTGCATACCAAAGAAAATCAGGCCACCTAATTCATCCTCTTCTGGAAAATATATTGCAATCATTTTTTTTTCCACTAGTATTTACAGGCTTAAGAATGTCAGAGATAAGGGCAGCTAGGTGGCTCAGTGGATAGAGCACTGGCCCTGGAGTCAGGAGGACCTGAGTTCAAATCTAGCCTCAGAAACATAACACTGTGTGACCCTGGGCAAGTCACTTAACCGTGATTGGCTTGCCCCCCCCCAAAAAAAAGAATGTCAGAGCTGGAAGGATTCTTAGAACATATCTAGCACTACCCTATTCATAATACGTGGAGGAAAGTAGGGTCCAAAGAAATGATTTTCCAAAGGTCATGTAGCTAGTAAGTTTCATGGCCAGAACTTAAACCTAGGTCTTCTGATTCTAAGACCACTGTTTACTTTAGAATTTGGTGTTTGACATAGATTTTCAGTAGTCTCTATGTAAATGCCATCAAAGTGCCTCTTTAAGATGTGTAATTAACAAGAGAATAGAATGTATTGGAGAGCAATAACGCATCTCTCCCAAATATTCTATCAGACTCCAAATTGACTCTGCTCTAACACAGAATGAAATATAAGGTATGACCCCTATGAGAAAGTTTATTAGTGGAAAGAGATAAAAAAATGAAGTGTAATCTATGCCTGCTGCATGTGGCTATTACTTATTAGCTACATAGAAAACATCTAGGTTGCAGCTGGAAAAAAGTTGATTTTTTTTTCCATTAATTTCATTTAAATTTTATGTTTTCTAGTCAAGGAGTCTCAAGCTAGGGAAATTTCTGCTATCAGAATTCTACCTAAGCATGAATAAATATCAGAAGCTCAAAGAGATTTGTGGTCCATCTCCATAGCTATATTGTATGAGATACATAATATATAGTACTCATTCTGTGTGTATATATACAAACACATACATATATGAAGATATGTATGGAGATTACATATATATATTTATATATATATACATGTATACATATATATGTATATATATATATATATATATATATACATATATATATACAGATACAGCATTTGAAAAAGTAAAATTTTGCTGTGTATGTTGGTGTATATCTGTAGTTTCTGCTCTTGGGGAGGCTGAAGTTCCCTTGAACTTGAGAACTGCAGTAGGGTTAAAGCCAATTGGGTGTCTCCATTAACTTTAGCACTTATACAGTGAGTCCTTGGAAGCAGAGGTTGATAAAAGGCTGATAAAAGAAGGGGAAAGCACAGTCCAAGTTGGAAAAGACAGGAGGTTGTTGTGAAAGAAGAAAAGAGAGAGATGGAGGGAGAAAAGAGGAGCAAAAAGAAAAGAAGAAGAGGAGAGAAGAGGAGAGTGGACAGGAGAGAAAATAAAAGAAGTAAAGAAAGGAAAGGGAAAGAGTGTAACAAGACCTTGATCTGAAAATGACATGTCCCTTTATAAAGGGGAATGATAATAGTATCCCAAATACTGACATCTTTTATAAAAGCTCTACAGATCCCTGTAGAGCACAAGTCAAGATTAGTCTCAAAAGGCCTTTTATGATTTATAACGTTGAAAATTAAAATGAGGGTAATTCATAATGTTTCCTAAATGACTTATACCTGGAACTCTTTATGTAGTAAAGAATAATTTATTTGGCAGAATCAAAATTGACACAATTTACTTAGTTATTGACCTTTCAAAGAAAATGTTCATCCCAACTAAGGTAATAGATTTAGCAGATTTCATGGTCTTGGAGAAGCAGTAGTCCTTACCTCCACATAGAAAAACGTGCTATCTTTGGCTTAGTCTGAGGAATAATTCTGTATCTAAACCAAGGATAACCCTGCCAATAAAATGTAGAGAGCTTTTGGGGGAAATGATGTGGCATAGCTTGAGTGATCATTTTTTACTTTATGCTTTGACATTCACCTACTGAGAGTGACCTCTTCAGTGCCCCCCTAATCCCCCAGCAGCTGGCTCTTCTTAGCTATCATATTAATTTTATGTACACAGAAGCTGTGTAAAGATCACTGGCCTTGGAATTGAGAGATTTGACTTTGAATCTGCCTATACCACTTACCTGTGTGGTTTTAAGCATTCTATTATCTCTCTGTGCCTCTCAGTTTCCTCATCTGTAAAGTAGAGCTAATACTAATGATGCCAACTTCCTAGAGCTGTTATGAGGATTAAACAAGATAAAGTATTTTGAGGCTATTTGATAACCTTAAGGAGCTATGTAAAGTTAACTATTATTATTAATGTATAAATCTCCAAGTACCAAGTAATTTGCCTGTTGCATAGTTTTCCTTTTTATTTTATTTATTTATTTATTTTTTTTGTGAGACAATTGGGGTTAAGTGACTTGCCCAGGATCATGAAGCTAATAAATGTTAAGTGTCTGAGACTGTATTTGAACTCAGGTCCTCCTGACTCCAGGGCCAGTGCTCTATCCACTGTGCATCCTAGCTGCCTCTTTATATTTTAATTAATTTAATTTATTTATTTAATATATTTCCTTTATGTTTTAATAACTGTGCTATTAAGAGGCATGACCAAAACTTCAACCCAAGTCTTCTGATTCTAAGACCTATGCTTATTTCAGAGTTTGGTATTTGATATAGATTTTGAATTGTCTCTTTGTGAATGGCATCAAAGAGCCTCTTTAAGATGAGGCATTCACAGGGCAGCTAGGCTGCACAGTGGACAGAGCACCAGCCCTGGAGTCAGGAGGATCTGAGTTCAAATCTGGCCTCAGACCAAATACTTGACACTTACTAGCTGTGTGACCGTGGGCAAGTCACTTAACCCCAATTGCCAAAAAAAAAAAAAAAGATTAGGCATTCACAAGAGAATAGAATGTGTTGTAGAGCAATATTACATCTCCCAAATTTCCTGTGATTCCTACTCAGACTTGTCATTTCCTAATTGCCTTAGGGAATTGTCTTAAAGATCAATGTTGGTTCTCAAGGGAACCAGGCATAAGAATGTGGATACATCTATTGTTAGTACAAATCCTAGGGTAAATAGTTCAAAGCCCATTTCTTGTGAATGGTAGGTCTATGGTATCATTATCACTTGTCCATGAAGGGCTTCACTTATACCTAATGAAATTTTTTTTGGGGGGGAGGGGTGAGGGTGGGAGAAGAGTTGGAGGACTGCATGGTCTGGACCTGTGAATTCCATTCAGAACAGGAAATTCCTAGAGTGG